CAAACCTTGTCACACCCCAAAAACCCGTTAAGTCGATAGAACGCCAATCAATTCCCAATAAAATAAAGGTAAATCTTACCAAAGATGGCAAATTTTGTCGGCCACGCAGGGTGGCTTTCGTCAGTTCTCACCCAAGCATGTTTTAAGTAAAAACAGCACTCTCTGTTAATACAATCAGTCATAATAACCCCCATAAAGCAGTCGTTCATTGATAAGCCAAAAGTCGCTGGCGCACACGACTTTTAACATTGAAGAATTCACAACATTATTAACCCGAATGGTAGCCGTTCTTAATTCACGGCCCCTCTCTGCACTCCCGCAAGGTCCCTCCTATTTCACAGCCCTCACCCCTGGACATTTTCTTAGAGGAGATCCACTGGCAATACCCGAACCAGACGAGCAATCCTTCTCTAATGAATCGATGGGAACAAATAAAATTTTCCATCACGAAATCAGTCGCTAATAATCATATAAGAGTATTAAACGTGCGCACGCAAAACGTTATTCTGACCAGAGCGCTCGTCAAATTTTGTTTCCAATCAATAGCAATAACCATTACCACAAATTAAAGAAAACTACGTAACTTTCATAAAGAAAAAAACATGTATCAATGTACCCGATTAACCCAGTAATGGTCGGCTAGCCCCATGCACTAATTTGCACCCAACATTAAAGTCGCGTTCCTCCCTACAGAAATGGACGTTGAGATGGCTACGGTATCCCCCGCCACTCCTGTCAGTAGCAGCTGGCCAGCAAGGACGGGTCGCAGCGGTACATCGCAGCGCACACGGTGTTTGTTGCGGTTTATGCCGCCGCCCACAACCTCTGGTCAGTTGCATAATTTTCCGGGGTGTGGCTCCACAGCAATGACAACAGGTGGCACAAGCGCATGGGCATTGCCTAGACTACCTTGCAGCTGGCTTTAAGATACCGTCGCTTCCCGCTATCGTACGTCGGAAACAAGAATCCGGTCCACACCATCGTCGGACCAGTGGCATGAGTAATGTGGTCCAGACGCTGCGAGAGCTACAGCGGTTTCTAGGCTAAGGATTCACCTAGGGGGCCCAGGATGGCTAAATGAGCAGTTTCAGTATGGCTGAGATTCCACTTCCGCTCGGCCACTCCCGCTTCAATCGACGTCGGCAGATGTCGCAACACATTCAAACATACATAAATTTACGCGTTATAAGTTGCCTTCCTTATCTCCCAGAAATAGTCAGGAAAAAGCCCGAAGTAGTCAGATTTAGTCCTAAAAGCGTTCCTTAACTCGAAAATGACAGCAAAAATGAGAGAGCAGCACTCAGTGATAGTGACTCTCTTCAGTCCGAAGTAGTCAGGTTTAGTCAAAAGAATTTTTACTGGCAAAATCTTGAAAAGTGTCAAACTCAACTGAATTTAATTTAACGGAAATTAAAGAATGTACAAAAAGTGTGAATAATCTAAAAAGTAAAAAAAAGAGAATTGAAAGTGGAAGGAGGCAAAAAATACATAAATGATATAGTAAGTGTTTATTGTGCTTGTGCTTGTGTGGATGTGTTTTGTACATACATTTCTATTCTTATTTGACTTTAGTTTTGTTGTTGTCATTCGTTGGCCTAAAAATTTGGTTTTTGCGTTCCTTTACTTTTTCCTGTTATTCTCTTTTAGTGACCGCATTTTGCTTACGCTCTTGCATTTTGACACTTGAGATTTTAGCCATGATTCAATAATACAAGGTTGGATAAATATTGACATTTGTGTCAATCGACTTCCTTGTAAGGTTGCATTTGAGAGAGAAGAGAAAGCGGGTAACCATTTTATCCCCTTTTGTGAAAAGGTAGTAGGAAAAGTAGTCTGGTAATGCTGAAATGCGTTTTTTGTATATTATATTGAATTAAAATCTTAAAGCAGATTCCATCGATCTACACAATAGACAATGAATTAACTTTTTTATGGTATATTAAACATGCTATATAGATATTAAAAATGAAATAAATGAGGAATGAGGGAATTTTATTCACATAAAATTCTAACCAAAGAAAAATCTTATCGACAAATATTCCCAAATATTCAAAATAAACCATGGTTTCATTAAAATTCCAGTATATATTAAATAAAATTAATGGAATTCAAACAAATCCTTTATTCAAAGGGACTATATTGCACACCGTCTTCAAAAGAGTCGCGACTCCAAATTTGGAATTTTTGAGATTATGAGCTAAAAATGTACACAGAGATCTTATTTACCTTTCAGCAAAAGCTGGATAAAGTTTTTGTTATAATTTGTTAATTTGTTAAAAAAAAACCCAAGGTAAAGTCGCCCTAGCCCATATGATTATCATGTGCTAAGAAATAGTAGTTCGCATTTTCTGACAAACGTGTTATGGATTTTGAGTTGTGACTCATTTGAAGACGGTGTGCGATATGAAGAAATATACAACTAGTAAAGATGCAATTGATATAATGTATATAAATTAATCTTTTTAATTATTATATTTGTTGCATTTAAAAATTACATGTTCAATATCTTAAATTAAATTACATTTGGTGGGCGGACACAAAAAGTGATCCTGACCTGCACAAGTAAAAAGCTTTATTGATATTTACACTTTCACTTTTATGTTGTGGTATACTTACTTGTGAGTATGTAACGGCTGCACTTCGCCAAATAAATCGGTGCAGCTGTAATTCACAGTGGACTGCACCAGCCAAAGGTGGACGGACACACAGAGATCCTAGCGCGAAAAACTTATTGGTAACGGCTGCACTTTCTGTAAAACGCAGGTTTTTGAATAAAAATTTTTAATATTTCCGATACTCCACAAATAAATATGTAAATTATTGTTTTAATTCAAAATAGCTCCATTATTTTTGATTTTTTTTGGCATGCTTACTTGAATTTGCGCAATAAGAAAATCAATTTCCACGAAACAATCGATGAAAATATCGGCAGTGTTGCCTGTTGAACTTTTTATGCGGAGACAATATTTCTCCTTGTCTTTTAGTAGTAGTCTTTATAAATGAACTAGTAAGAAAGTCTAAGTTCGGGTGGAGCCGAACATTAAATACCCGGCGCAAATATTAAATATATGTTTTTCACCTTTCCGAAAGCTACCGCTACATGGTAAGCCGGGGTGTATGAATTTTGAGTAAATTAGCGTCCTTAAATTTCGAAATATTGAAGTTTCAAGCATTTCTAAAGTTTACCGTTATATGAAAAGCCGCAATTTTAGTCCAATTTCAATAATTTTGAACGTTTTGCTTTTATGTGGCAAGTACAATAACCATACCGAGTTTGGTACAAATTGGTAGAACGGTTACCGAGGTACATATATGTGATCATAAGTGGGCGGTGCCACGCCCATTTTCCTAAATTGTGTCATAAACGTATTTGTTCGTAAAGAATTGTTGCAAGCGTCAATTTTGAATAATTTCGTATTTCTCTAAATTACCCTTATATGGAATGTGGGCGTGGTTATTGTCCGATTTTAAAAATTTTCGGTCATTTGGTATGTTGTACCAAGACTGTGCCAAGTTTGGAAGCAACCGGTGCAGCGGTTGCCAAGATATACACATGTAACCATAAGTGGGCGTGGCTACGCCCATTTTTCAAAAATTTATAATATTCTTATTTTTCGTCTAAAAGTTATTGTAAATATCAATTTTGAGTGAATAATCTTTAGTAGTTACTAAAATATCGCAGTTTTCGTATTTCTCAAAATTACCGTTATATGGGAGGTAGGCTTGGTTATTGTCCGATTTTTCCCATTTTCAATGCCATCCGTCCTACCCCGGAAAGAAATACACGTACCAAGTTTCGTTAAGATATCTTAATTTTTATTCGAGTTATCGTGTGCACAGTCCGACGGACGGACGGACGGACAGACAGTTACCGCTTAATCGATTCCTCTTTTCATCCTCATCATTTATGTATTCATTTGTCTATATCTATCTCGATTCGTTTTGCCTGTTACAAACAACCGTTATGTGAAAAAAGTTATAATACCCTTGTGCACAAGTGCGCTCGGGTATAAAAAAGAAAGCAACACAGGCTAATGGTCTGATTATGCATACTTCGCATAACTTCGCACAACCATTTGTACCAGTGCAATAAAAATATAACTTAAGAAAATGTGAAGCAAAATTTAAGCTCAACAGACCCCTAAGTTTTTAAAAGTTCTGCTAATTTTTGGGTAATAGAATACATACCAAATACATACAAAGTACATATGAAATTACAGTTTTAAGTTTTTGCGAAGTTGCGCGAAGTTAAGCGAAGCATGCATAATCAGACCATAAGGCAGAATGCGGTAGCGAGACAACTGCCAGGTTATCCAACCTTGTGTTCTTGAATCATGGATTAGCTAACCCCCTTCTCCACCACCTCTGTAAACACGCCACTTCTAATACACACACACACACATGTACATTGCAAGTTAATTTTGATTTGTTACAATCACAATTCTTTCGATTTCACGCCGAGCGGACGTGCTTCATGCAAATCCGTTCAGTCGTTTCCGCGTGATTATTAAATAAATTAAACTTTTTCAATTCATGCAAAGCCGTTCAGTCCTTCTGCGTGATGGAGCCCCAGACATCCAAACACACAGTCATACAAACTTTCACATTTAAAATATTAGTAGGAAGGATAGTAGGATTAGTATATTTTTGCAAGATATTTGTTTAAAAAGCGTCGAATTAATGTATATTTGTTTTAAACGTTCGTTGTTTTTGTGAAAGCGTTTGAAATTTTTTGTTGGTTCATTTTTTCTGAAGTTTTGTACAATTTCGAAAAATTCATTTATTATCCGTAGCGTGAGCTAGACCAGTAGTTCGTTTTTGTATCTCTTCTCTACTGATTATTTCTCTACAGGTAGAATAACAAATACATGTATAAAATTATTTCCATCGCATCTGGTTACGATACCGTGGAATGAGCCTTAGCTCTATCATTCAGTGTCCAGCTTTTTGCATTTCGAGGCCATATCTTTTCTTTGAAATAACGTATTTATTACTCTTAGCTCCTTACTCTGCACTTTGATCGGTGTGCAAAATATTATGGCTCTTCTCAAGGTCAAGGTTCATACGGCGCATCATCAGATGAAGAAAAACGATTGACAATGCTCCTGTTTTCCAATATTTTTGATTCTCTCAGTAATATGGATTACGATCCTGAATTATTTGGAAAAGCATTACCTTGTTTGATAGCTATTGGCTGTGCTCTGCCACCTGATTATAGTTTATCGAAAAATACGGATGAGGACTACTACGGCCGGCAGTCCGGTGCACCAGATCAACCACAATATGACCCTCAGCCCATTGACACCGACCAAGTGCAATTGAACAACGACCTCGAAACCCTGGTGCAGAAATTTAGTGAGCATTACCACGATGCCTGGGCTAGTCGCCGATTGGAGAGTGGATGGTCTTATGGGGAAATACGTTCCGACAATGACCGCAAGCATCCACGTCTTAAGCCATACAACATGTTAAGCGATTATGTATGTATATTGCATGCTATTTCCCCTAATTATTTGTCCTAGCTTTTCTTAAAAACAAAAAAAAAATCTTTCAATTTACTTGGTAACATGTTAAAAAATCTGTAAAGTAAAATTATTTAGAGGCAGTCTATACATACCTCGTAAACTGAGAGATATGAGATTATCAGAACCCAAAATTATATATACTTACTGATATTTTGAAAATTTAAAGGAACGTGAACGGTACCGAGATCCTGTAAGGGAATGTTTAAAAGCTCTAGTTTCTATTGGTTGGCGCATTGAACAGTCGGATATCGACGTCCCACTTAATCACCGTGGATCCACCCGACGTCAATCCAAGCCACAAATCGTATGTATATATTTATGTATATATGTTACCGGGCAAACCGATCTTAGGATAAACTAGGCGCCACAGTACTTTTGTGTAGAACACATGTTCGCGCAGGCGGGCTTCGGCCGCACTTGAAAAAAATAACCCTCATCAGTTCAACTCCTGGTACGCAGTCCACTATATTGTTATGCCCAACTTGTTTCCGCGTGGGACGGATGTATCGGAGATGGAAAGAACTAGTTCAGCCTAATTGTCCTAAGATCGGGTTTGGCCGGTAACATAACACGGTACATAATTAGTTTAATAATAGATAATTGATTCCATGTTTATAAAAGTTTATCTAAGTGCATATGCACATACATATGTACATATTTGTGAAATAATTTCCTTTATTTACGAAACTTTTCAACCCGAACCCCACCCATATCCATTAATTAAAAATTTTCTTGTTTCAATATCATGGCTTCTTGCTTAAAATAGAATGATTTTCAGAATGAAAGTAGCCCGTTTAACTACAACCCACATCCAGTTGACATGACAAATTTAACGCTGAGTAGAGAAATGCAAAATATGGCAGAGCGTCTAGCTGAAAACTCGCATGATATATGGGCTAAAAAGAAAAAAGAGGAGTTGAACTCTTGTGGCGGAATTATACATGCACAGCTGGTTCCATATGACCTGTTGACAGATAAAGAAAAACGCAAAGACCGTGAACGTTCACAGGAATTCTTAAAATATATGCAATATCAAGGCTATAAATTACACAAGTAAGTACTTAATTATTTTCGGAAGTAAGTATCTTAACAACTGAAAACGTAAGCTAAGAGGGTGATGTTCTGGCTAACATCCATATACTGAAAGCCGTCTTAGGTTCGATTTTTTACGAATCGTAAAACCGATATGCTCAAATCCGCTATGGCGTATCGAATTTTAAATAATTGATAATAAAATAATCTGTTTAAGCACAAGAATAACTAAAATATGTTAGTTTAATGGTTCTCTAGCGAAAAACCGCAAAACTGCCACCAATCGACATAGAGAAGTCCCTGGCGAAGATTATAATTTAACTTGCGTCTTTATATAAGAGAAAATTTCTCACAAATCATTAAACATTTTAAATTAATTAGACCACTCACAATTAACAGCTAAATGGATTAAGATCGACTCATAACAATCTCCTCTGCATATTCATGCAATTGTTGCCTAAAGAATATTCTACCTCCTAGGATAAAAGTGCAGCGGCTACACAATCCTTCATACATATTTTAATTACAAATGGCTACACTGGTTTACAGCAAAAATGTTCTGGGATGCCACTATCAAATTCCTATGTAGAATTGCTCGGCGATTCCGAAAATCGAGATATTTTTGCTATGGATACGTTTTCGAGATATTTGCATTTTACTGTTACTCAGCTTAAAAAAGTGGGAACTCTTTTTTTATGCTGAATAACAATAAATTGCAAATATGTCAAAAACGTATCCATCGAAAAAAAATAACGCCATTTTCGGAATCACCGAGCAACTCTACACATAAATTGGTCAGTGGCGTCTGGAGAACGAAAACAAAACTAAAATTTGTGTGATTTGTGATCCAGTGCTTGTAAATTTCACTCTTCACTTGCAATAATATTTATATATATATTTCTTTCAAAACAGCTGATTAAGAAGAACGGATTACAGCATACAATATTTATATTTTACGAAGCGGAGTTACGTATTCGTAACTACGAAAATTTGGATTACAGCATAAAGATGATTCTGGTTAAACGTATCCACGAACACTTAAGCATGCTCTTCAAGAAAGATAAATAAACAAAAGTAATACTATTTATAGCAGAGAACGTTTAAAACAGAGAAGCAGCAATTACGAATAGCCGTGTGAATTGTCAAACACTACCAAAATCGCTCTAGAAGCTCACCACTCGAATCGAAAATTGAGAGCGGAAAATTAACAGATCTGAGCGGCAAGTTAACAGAGCTGAGCGGAGATACAATTTTGTTAATTTGTATCAATGTTAAGTGCTTTGGTTTGGATTTTCTTTTTCGCTGCATTGATTTAATAAAAAAAAAGATGAAAATTCTTGGTTAAATTAATGAAAATTAATTTTCGAAAATATATGCCAGGGAATGCTTTAAATCCAAAACGTAGATTTGTTATCTAATAAATATGTGAAAGCTATGAAAATATGCAAACTCATTGGTGATTTGCCGTCGGCATTTGGGTCGAAAAAATCGTTTTTTTTTTTTAACGATTCTTATTGTAGTTGCTACGCTATTTTAAACGTTCTCTGGTAACCAACCTTTTTGGGTTGTTGTTGTAGTAGTCGTTGTTGTTGTAGTTATATTCACTCCTGAGGAAGGCACGGGGTTGTGTGCTGCTATTTAATGGCCTTCCTCAGCCTTTTTCTTAGATTTCAGGGTTGCGTGCTGCATTACTATTAGATAAATAAATTTAAGCATTTGACGAATCGTGATTTTATTAAAAGAAAATTATAAATGGTGTTGAAACCCCAAACAAACGGTCGTGCGAAATCTCTATTTTTATGTATTGTTAAAATTTATACATGGCGTATTGATGGTAATATAAGCAATTTATTCTTTTGTGGAGAGAATTTAGTCAACGTGCGAGCTGCCAGGTTTTGTTATCAATATAATTAACACAAGCTTTTCCGCGTGGTTGCCTTTCAATAAATAGAATAAACAAATATTCGCAAATAAATTGGATTTATTTTATAACTGACAACTAACGTACGCTTTTTGTTCTTTTCTCCATTTTGATTTTTACTCTTTATTACCGCCAACAACTTTATGTGTACACATATTTACAAGATGTCAAAATTTTGCGTAGTCCCATGAGCTAGGTAAAAACTATGGCATTCGTATTCACAACGAGAAATCTCAAAATTTTTGTTTGGTCTTTCCAAATTTTCTCTTTTTTATCAGTTGGCAAAAGCCCTCAGTGGCAGCGCTCCGAGCGTTGAGATAGTAATTTCATGTCAATTAGTAGAAAAGTTCCATGTTGAAAAAACTTTTTATTGTGGCGAGAAAAATTTACATTTCTGCTGTGCCAATTCGTAACTTTTTACTGCTGGAAATTTTTGACAGTTGCTCTGGTGCAAAAGAAGTTGAGCAAATAAAATCAGAAATTATACAAAAAAGACTTGTCTTTACTGACATTTATTCTTCTAGAACTTAAAGCCATGCATTTATTAGACGCCTTAGTAATAAAATTAGAACAAAAAAACTCTTCAAAACCGTCAGGCCGGGTTGAAAATTTTCATTCACCTCATAGTTTCAAATTTACCATCCGTAGTACTTTTCTATCAATTCGCAAATGCCGTTTGCACAAAAAAGGTTATGAAATTCGTTTTGTTTAAATCGTTTAGAAAATGAGTCATTTATGTATACCATTTTATGTGGAATTATTCAATAAATTTCGTTTTACACTATACTTTTTGAAACTATTTGGAGTTAATTATTTTTTGTTTCTTAAAAGCAACCCTGCGTGGTTGGAAGGCGTGTGTACCAATAATTTCATCCCTAGCATATTCATCCCCGAGGAAGGCAGTCGCCAAATTCACCGAAGGTTGTTTACTGGTTATATTGTGACCGTCATATAAAAAGGTTGTTTTGCGCATGATTGTCCTTTTTTTCCAAGCAAATTTCTAACGAAAAATTATCTGCGCAAGAACAACCCCTACCTTTGAAAATTTGCGACCAACTGAACGCTGACAATGCAAAAGTGAATTAAAGCGCAGTTATTCAACGATGTAGCGTAAACTTAGGTTGACGTACGTAGCAGCATATCAAATTTACTGTTGATAGAGAGAGAGAGAAACAACGGCAACGTCACCGCCATGCGGTGGTGAGTTTTCGTTAACACGCGAATCCCATAAGGTAGATCGTGTCTGCGTCAACCTACGTCTACGTTACGTCGTTGACTGTTTAAGCGCAGTTAGTCAACGACGTAGCGTAAACGTAGGTTGACGTACGTAGCAGCATATAAAATTTACTGTTGATAGAGAGAGAGGGAAACAACGGCAACGTCACCGCCATGCGGTGGTGAGTTTTCGTTAACACGCGAATCCCATAAGGTAGATCGTGTCTGCGTCAACCTACGTCTACGTTACGTCGCTGACTGTTTGAGCTTTAACAGCTAATATGCGCGCACCACCAGTGTTGCCATTACTATTTCTGTCGTCCCGCCAGATTAATAAACAAAAATCGCTAGAATCCTGCTAAATCATTTAAATTCTGTAAACTCTTATGAAAAAAAGTTTCTTTTATAATTTAGGAGTTAAACTTTATTTCATAAAATTAGAGATCATATGTTTATAAAAAACCATCAGTTTTTTGACAAAAACAAAATTGGAACTTCGTTATATGTGACCTGGTCTACGAAAAGGGAGCTTACGTGCGAAAACTAGTTTTCTGTGAAAAAGCTGTTAAAAGTAAGCAACTCGTTTCGTCAGTTTCTCATTATCTCGTTAATTGTTCTCCGCGCCGGGCGTCCAGTAAGTGTTGTTGTTGGTCCAGTAAGTGTTGTTGTTGGTCGGAATATTATTATAGTTCATCGTGTAAGTTGCTAGTGTGGAACATTTAAAAAAGTAACACTGAAGAAGTGACGTTTACTGTTTCTGTTGATTATCGTCTTCGCATTTCGCATGAAATGAAACATGAGTGCCGTATACGGACAAAACTACTCAGCATTATTATTTTTGGCCCATAATACGTTTTTCTAGTGTATAATCATGTCTTTATGGCTTATAATTCAATGTTTTGTTCATTACCAATAAATTATGTTTTGTCGTATTTTTACTCTTCTTTCTCTACATTTTTAGTACACTTCTAAGCAAGTTAAGATTTTCTGCTTTTCACCACGTGAAAAAGCATCTCATCTTCCATCCGAATCAACCAAAAAGTGAAAATTGATTTTTTGACACCTAAGCCCCCTTTCCGTAGACCAGGTCACATATAGTTTTGTAACCAGTGTTGGGATTTTGTGGCATTAAATAAAGTAAAAAAATTGGTCATAAGAATGTCGTCTTCGTTTTCGTGACTGTTGAACTCGTTGGAGTTTGTAAAATGTAGTCAATGCAAAACTTATTTGCACTTTTATGTCCATACCTGCAATTAAAAAAAAAAAAAACAAATAAAGCATTTGCACAAGTGCTGTCAAATTAAACACACATCTTTGATTTAATCAAAATGTATATACATACACTTCACTTTGCATCGTTAAAAATCAAAATCTTCAAATCATCAAAAATATATAGATATGCATACATGTAGCTTTTTTCATGTTAGCTGAGCCGAAGATACCTAAAAATATTCGACAACTATATAACACTATTAGAATACCTTTCCCGTCATGTTCAGTGCTTATTTAGTGAATTTTATTCTGGATACGAAAATCTTTTTATACACATAAGTATGTATGATGTTTTGATTTGTCCCAAGTTTTGGTGCTTTTAGGAAAGTTGGCAGCCATGGGGTCTCACATTCGTGAGTACTCACATATACTTGTTCTCTCATTCCGATCACACATACAGATGCAATTCGCGCAAAATTTTCTGTTTCCCCCCGGGCATAATTACCTCAGCTCATCTACCCAACGGTTTGCACATTATGCCCATCGCTAACCTAATGTACTCACCAAAATTATTTCTAAAAATACTTGACATCCGCATTCGCCTTCGCATCCGCGGATGTTAGCTTTTAAACATCCGCATCCGCATTCGCATCTAAAATTCCACATTCGCAAC